GGTTTTTTCCCAAAGATAAAAAGTACCAGATTTTATTTGTTCTCCAATTTAAAAGCCACTAACGCAAACATTCCAATGAAAAACCCTTCAAATGCGAGGAATGTGGAAAACAATTCCTTCACCAGTCAAAATTACTAACGACCATAATTCAAAACATCAATAGGATCGAAAATAATATAAATGCGAAAGTGGGTGTGGCAAAACTTATTTTTATATGTGCAGTTTAAAGAAACATGAAAAGGAAATGCATCAGAAAAAAGAAAAACCCATATTCACCACTGAATCCTATAATCAATAAATTAAAAACCTCAAGGATTTCTTCACATGCAACCATCCTCAAGTAATACACAAAAATCATGTTGATGTACTCTTCAATGGATGCCTGTACTATTACAACGAAGGTAATAAAATATCATAACTAGAAAATCAAAAAATTGAATATCACGAGCTTGTTGATGGTGGCAAACTAGAATGCGACCCAGTCAAAGATCATTAGCATTTCCAAAAGAATCAACAATTTGCATAGATCGATTGTTCACAATGTCCCCAAGAAGTCAATTGCTGTTTAGCCACAAACCAAGGCAACATCCAAGAATCAGAATATCCCCAATCCTATGTCTTACATTATCATGGCCCTAACTGCGGACACCCCATAGTCTTGCACAACGGCCACGTCGATTATCTAGTCAATGAGATGCTTCATTACCCTCATGATGGACATTGCGATAACCACGGAATTCTGAATAGAATCACAGTATAATGAGAACATTAATAATTATATAATTCAAAAATGTCATTAAGAAGCGTTGTCGAAATCGTAACTCATGTCGAGAGTTTTAGAAACGTCGATCTCTACTACCAAGGTGTTTATTTCCTCAGAATCACTATCCACAATGATGCCCCCCAAGATGTACACCCATCAATCCATATTTAGGCTAATAAAATCTATGCCCATCCACATGACCCTTGTGAATCCTATAAAACCTATCCATAAGAGGCTCAACAGAATGTCAACCCTCCCAAATACTACGAAACCCATATCTTTAGACCAGCCTCCATAGTTACATCCAATTCAGCATTTTACACTAAAGCATTTTTCATTAAGTTTTGCGAAGAGGAAATTGAACTTAATGATATCTGTAATTTCAGAATCGAATTCGATGCAGGTCCTAAAAAGGAACAATCATTAATCATGTAAGTTGATTTAATGTTCTTTGATTGTTTGAATTCTCAGAAGGATCAGCCAAAACAAGAACCGCTCTATACCAAACAAGACAAAGAAGATTATGCCATTCCTGATGGTAAAATTTAAGCCACTGCCAAATTCAAGATCAAAAATGTATTACTACCTAATCATCAATTTGTACCCATCATTTTTGAAGACCAAAACTTTTGTCAAGCCAATATGGTTGTACATACCATTACATTAGATTATCGTTTCCGCACTCATCCCATTCAATTATTCTAATTTGCTAGACTCAAATTTGAAGAACGTAATCAACTACTTGAAGGAAAAGTGCCAAGTACTCTAGATAAAAACAAAAATCAATCCAAACCTTTAATTAATTCTGATCAAATCTCAATGTATGAGGCCATTTAAAAACAGTTTAAGGAAATGAAAGGATTAGACTATTACAGTATGCAATAAGAATTTGTAGAAAGCTTAAAAGGCTATTATGAATAGCTCTATTAACATTATAATTTGATATATTCTAAATGCATTTTAGAGAAGCAAAGAAAACATTTCAAAAAGTATCTCTATCCACCTCTTAAATTAATTGTCCCTGAATATATAACAAGTGAGACCTATCAAAACATGAAGGGATAATTAACAAGAAAGGAATTAAATCAAAGAATAGAAGAGAAATTCCACACTTCTGATCCTGAAACAATCATACATTCAATTCTAAATGAAACCAATCTGATAAGTTGTCAACTCTTCTAAATGTGGATCAAAGTACTTGATTTATATCGAATCAGTCCAAGATTTTGTGTGGCCCTTTTGTAATTTGATTACTAAAAGATACTTAAAAATAGATGGCAATAATTTTGTATTAAACAACCACCCCAATAATTATTAGACAAGAATTTGGGAGTAGAACATAGATAGAAAAGTGAGAAAATGAGATTAGAAACCAAAGTTCAAGAATTAGGAGTTGAAGATTTGAATTCATTTCCAAAAACAGATACACAACCAATCATCTTTGAAGAATTCACTCCCAGAGAAGATAAAGATAAAAATGAAGAAAATATAGTAGATGCAGACATAACCAATAGTGAATATGACATTATGTCATATCGAGGCATTCATTTGATAGTACTGGTTCATGGTTTTCAAGGCAACTCATATGACATGAAATTATTTAAGAACTACATATCATTAGCACATCCTGAAGCCATGTTTTTGTGTTCATCAATAAATGAAGAAAACACTGAGGGCAACATCCAAGAAATGGGAGAAAAACTAGCTACTGAAGTCATCAATTTCATATCTGAAAATTGTCCAGAAAATACTTTAGGTAGATTAAGCTTTATTGGACATTCATTAGGAGGAGTTATAATCAGAGCTTCCTTACCCTATCTAGATAAATACTAAGATAAGATGTACACTTACATTAGTCTTTCATCTCCACAATTAGGATACTATTATAATGCTAGTAAGATTGTTGATGCTGGCATGTGGGTATTGAAGTAATGGAGAAAAAGCAAATGTTTAGAATAGTTACAAATGACTGATAATAGAAATATTGAAGAAACATGTCTCTAAAAACTTGCCTTGGCTAAAGGATTCGCTTGGTTTAAAAATGTCTGCTTTTTCAGTTGCATCTAAGACAGTTATGCTCCTTATGATTCTGCCAGAGTACAACTCTCAAAAGAGGCCCTTGAAGATTAGTATTCATATATATGTTATAAATTTAAGGAAGAATAAACCATACGTTTAGATGGTCAAAGCATTATTAAGGCATCTTGAAAACACAAATGTTTATAGAATTGATGTCAATTTTGAGATTTAAGAAAAGTATTTATTTCCATCAAATATAGAAACCTTGATACACTGATAGGCAGAACTGCGCATATTCAATTCTTAGAATGTTAACCCCTATTAAGAATGATTGTCAGTCTATATGATCAATTCTTCTGTTGAAAATTTGATAATTTATTAATTGTTAAATTCAAAGCTAATACTAGATAGTATATAATGACATCAGTCTTAATTAATAATTCGTATTAATTTTAATGTAAAGAATTCAAGCACTTTCCAACTAGTTCAATCCTACTATTGCTCCCCCTGCTGGCAATGTTACTTATCCATGGGTTATGAAATACCCAGATTTCTTCCCTTTTGAATAGGTAGGCAATCTTAAAGGCAAAACCGTCATAATTAGTGGAGGATCAAGAGTATATCCAAATTTTATTTGCTTAGGGCATTGGATTGGCTATTGGAATTAGAGCTGCCAAAGATGGTGCTAATGTTGTCATACTTGCCAAAACAGTAGACCCACATCCTAAGTTACCAGGTACAATTGCATCTGCTTGTGCTGAAATTGAAAAAGCAGGAGGTAAGGCATTGGGAATTCAATGTGATATCAGATTTGAAAAGGATATTTAAGCTGCTGTATAAAAAACTGTTGAAACCTTTGGTGGAATTGACATAGTTGTGAATAGTGCTAGTGCAATATCACTTACAGATACAGAATCTACAGACATGAAGAAATATGACTTAATGCATCAAATCAATACTAGAGGAACGTATTTAATGAGCAAGACTTGTATTCCTTATCTTAAGAAATCCTCTAATCCTCATATTCTCAATTTATCACCTCCTCTAAGTATGTAATCCAAATGGTTTGCCCCACACATTGCATATACTATGGCTAAATATGGAATGAGTATGTGTGTCTTAGGGATGAGTGAAGAATTCCGAAATTAAATTGGAGTGAATGCCTTATGGCCAAGAACTTCAATTGCAACAGCTGCAGTTCAAAATGTTTTAGGTGGGGACTCTATGATGTAAGCATCTAGAAATGTGGAAATTATGGCTGATTCTGCACATGTTATATTAACAAGTTGTCACAAAAAGACTACAGGAAACTTTTTCATTGATGACGAAGTCTTAGCGAGTGTTGGAGTCAAAGATTTTAGTATATACAGATGTGATCCAAAGTTCTCGGATTCATAATTAGCACCTGATTTTTTTATTTGAGAAAATTAAACAATATTAACAATCAATAATTTTCTTTATTTTATAAAATGAGTTGAAAAAATCTTATATGATACATCATTTATATATTAGAATTAAAAAGTATTAATTAAAGAAAATATCTATTTATGATTATAAATAAAGATATAAT